TCAATCGATGTTTACTTCTCTTCGCTCTGAAATCTGAATGCAATTATATGCTTTGCTTCATCACGCTGCAACAGTCAGGGGCATTTAGGTAGTCAGACTCGGAACGTGTACTACCAGAATGGTAATGACTGGTTCAGCTAATGGCATAATCTTATAATACGAATTCCATGCAAGAAATCGCAAGGAAAATTATGCCACATGGCAACACCTATTTCGTGGAACAGGCTCGATCTTGCTAGCGCGCGTGCAGCAATCCGGAAATGCTCGTGTGCGTGCGTGCAACGGGCGTCCAAAATTTTCTGGAGTATCAATCAAGCAATTAGTAGATGATTTAGGTACATAGGTCATGGCTCAGCGGGCTATGTGATGGCACAAGATGACAAGAACACACTAGGTGAAACGAGATATTATGTATGCATGCAAATACCCGATGCATGTTGATCGATGCATGAACTAGAAAAAAAAAAGAGGCAATGGCAAATTTATCACTATTTTAAATCGTTATTGTAAGACTGCCACTAGAAAATTACAAAAATACCACTAGAACTGTCATTCGAGTGGCATCCTTACCAAATTGAAAAAAACAATGGCAAATTTGCAAATGCCCCCCCTAAAAAAAAGTTGTGGGAGAGAATGCGCTGAGACCATTACGAACAGCCTGACATCACTTCTGGCACTATCTTTTCATCTACGTATATGCTCAACCGCTTATCACTAATTAAAAAAAATACAAAAGCAAATGCTACAATATAAACTTCGATGAAAAACAAAGCACAAAATCAACTTTAAAATTAAGTTTTAAAATACAAAATTTGACATAAGCTTAAGCATAAGAAAAAAAAGGGGCTATTCATCCCAACCATTTTCAGGGCTTGTTCGGATTATTGGATAGGAAAAACATAGATAGAAAATGTATCGAAATAGGAATGATAAATAAAGAAATAAGAAAGTTAAGGGCATTCGGATTGCATAGGAGTATAGGACTTGTATGTTGGAAGAAAAAAAGAAAGAGAGAGATAGAGCACTTGAGATGGATGGGGCATTCAGATTACATGAAGTTGATTACATAGGATGAGAGAGATAAACTCATGAGAGACTTTTTATGATATTAGACCTTGTCGGTGACATGGGACCGGGAGTATCATGACTTAGAGACTTGAGGCAGACACGATCACCCACGTGGCCTAACCCCCTCGGGGGGGGGGGGGGTCGGGCCCGAGGGTGATACGGCCGCCCTTCCCTTTGTCTCCCCGAGGGGTCGGACCGCTCCCGTCTCGGCCCCGAGGGCCGAGGCACCCCGACCCCTTGTGGGTTTTGCGCCGCGTATATGGGGTAGGTGAGCATAGCGGGGCTCACCTAACCACATTTATTGCGGTTTGGACGAGCGCGTCACGCCGCATGTAACGCAGTGCAGCGCGCTCGTTTATCCGGTCAGTGACCAGTCACAGACCGATCAGATCGTGGGTTAGGTGGCGACAGGCGGTCTGACGCACGCCTCGCCCCATCCCGTCAGGATGAGAGCCTCCAAGCACTCGTCCCTAGCCGGAGCCGGCGTGTTAGCTCCTGGAGATGGCACGTTGGTCCCGGTCAGATATATACCAGGCTTCATCCTAACCATTACAAGCAAGACATTGTATGAAGAGGGGCAAACATGCAGATTGATGAACTGACACGTGGTGGACAAGAATGACCGATTTGTGACCGGTCTGACACTGGTCATGTCGTCAGCAGACAGCCATGTTCCCACGTCGCGCCTGCTTCCGGCGGAAGTGGAGGTAGGTATGGGCCGTCCCATCAGAAGGTCATTCGGACGGCAACCATACAAGTCTCCGTCTGTTTATGAAAAGATAGGATAAGTCCCCACAAAAAAGAGAGAGATGGTGCATGTGGTATCCCCTTGAGGTATAAAAGGAGGACCTTGCCCACTTAGAAAGGGGATGATTTTTTTTTGGGATCCAGAACGATCAGAGAGGGAGAGGGTAAGAGCTCTCTGGTTCTCCAGCTCTTTTGTAGCTTCTTCATACATAGATCCACCAAAACACAGGAGTAGGGTATTACGCTTCTCAGCGGCCCGAACCTGTATACATCGCCCGTGTCTTGTGCTTTTTCCAATCTCGCGAACTTTCCACAGACTAGGAGCTTAGAACCTCACCCAGGGCCCCCGGCCGAACCGGCAAAGGGGGGCCTGCGCGGTCTCCCGGTGAGGAGCCCCACGCTCCGTCAGACCTCATGGTAAAAATCTCAAAATCTAATATGAATTTGGGCATTCCTTAGAAATTTGATAGGATTTAATAGTTTTCAATAATCCTTTGGTTCAAAAAATCATATAGAAAAAATTTCTATAGAAAAAAATATTGTTCCTATACAGAATAAAAAAATCCTATATTTTCCTTTCAAATAAAGGGGTACCATGCGTGGCAAAGCCACGCGGTTTTTCTAGTAGTATAACATATTTACGTATAAGCACCAAACTGGGAGGTTGACAAATACTGCCCCTATTTCATACTATAAGTCATTTTAACTTTTTTAAATTAATTTTTTATGTTTAATTTAATTTATAGAAAATATAACAATATTTTCAATGCACAATAAAAAATATAAAAAATTGTTCAACATTAGACGTAATGAAACTAATTTTATGCTATAGTGTTGCTATATATTTTTTTATAAAATGGTTAAGCTTTTAAAAAGTTTAACTTAACATTTTTTCCATCATACTTCTTCCATTGCACGGCATATGAAAAGCTATGGAAAGTTGAAATCGGCGTAAACTAACGAGCTGTATCATAAAGAATAAAAATAATGTTAGCATCGCAACAGCACATTCTAAGATGAGACTAGAGACTATGAAAGCCTCTTAGTACTCCCTCCGTCCAATAAAAAAACCGAATATAAAGCTAGATGTGACACATTTTAGTACAACGAATCTAGATAGAGATGTGTCTAAATTCATAGTATTATGATATATCATATCCAGAACTACTTTAAATTTTTATGGAACGAAGAAAGTAGTAATCAACGTACAATTTGCTTCAAGTAACACAATCGATGTCTGAATGAACTCAGGTCCAAAGGCAATAAACAATGGGGCCTTGCCGGTTGGCTGGGCGATAATCTCTGGAAGCATCTGTCTTTATGTTCAAAGTTCAGTGTAGGACCCGACCCAGTTGACAAGTGGATTTAAACTGCTGTCCATTGTATGCATGCTTTTCTTGATAGGTATCAATGGCGGAGTGAGCACATCTAACCGTGGTCCATAAAGAGAGACACTTTAGGCTGTTTTCGGGGGTGAGTATTGGGAACCCATCTCCTATACATGAAAAATGGAACAGTACATTAACACGTGATTAATTATAGTGGCAAATACATAACAAAATGTTGGTGTGGTATCGATGTCCCCCTGCCGTGAGTGACCACTGGCCCAAAGGCCCCAAACTCGAGATGGATTCGACTCTTTCGAGGCTCATTCATCCTCGTGTAAAGAGGTGGGCTTCATGTGATGCTGCCGTACAAGCTACACTGTTCCTTGTGCTGGGGCGGACGACCGAACGTGTGCTACGCTGCTACTACGACGGACGGATGCCGACCTCCGACACGAGATGGCCACAACAACCACCGCCGAGTTTATGAGCCATCATCCTTTCGTCCTCGTTCCGCCGTACGACAACGTCTCGCGCCATCAGCAGCGGAGAGAGACGATGGACGCAGCGGCAGCGAGAAAAACGCGCGCATTACTACTACCCACGTGTGGCGCGCGGAGCAGAGGCGAGTGGCAACAGCAACGTCTCACTAGCCGACAGCCGGGCGGCCGGCCGGAAGGTTTTCTTTGGATCACGGCCTCACCGCGCGCATCGCCGTCTCGTCGTGGCGAGCGCGGGGCGCGACGGTTGGCGCGCGCGGGCTCCGTCCCGTCCTTTGTCACCGCCGCGAGAGGCGCCTCGCACCGGAACCGGCCGGCCCCGGGCCCGGGCTGCCTGCCTCGCCCTGTGCGGATCGTACGCCTGAATCAGCGTGGCGGTCTGTGTGGCCTTCGTTTGGTGAGAGCCTGAGAGGACAGCCGTTCGCTCGCAAATCGCAATGCCGCCCCCGCCACGGCCAGCCTCCGACCGATTCGTGAGCGCGCGCGCGGGGGCGGGCGCGACACGTGACTGCACGAGATAATGTCTCCAACTCTCCAGGGAAAGGTAAGGACAGGGTTGATCCCGCGGTCGATGTAGCCAGCCAGGGAAGACGACGAGGTCTGGTGGTTTCCGCGCGCGCCGAGGCGGCCTCACACAAGTCACAATTGGCGGGGAACGATGGGTGGTGGTTCGCGAGGGGCCGCACCCTCGTACTGTCTCTTTGGAACAAAGCGATCGCCATCGTGGCCGACCGGTCGAGAGCGAGGCAGCATCATCAGTGAAAACGTCACGGCCTCGCGACGCGGTACCGTTGAGGCGGTGACGCCGAAGATGACTTGACTGCGGCGAGGGTACAGTCGTACAGATGGACACCTGATTAAGCGACGTTCGTGGATGGAATCAAGGGAGGATGCGGGTCACCTTGCAGCATTTGTAGAGCAAAAGCGACGTGCAGGATGGGTGTTCTGCAGTGAGGAGGACGGATCAAGGAAGATATTTATTTCTGATGACGTGACTCAAATGGCTAGAATCCTAATATTGGTTATTTGTAGAGAATCAAATTTAGGCAAAAGTCCAAACGGCATTTCTTCTCTGGGCTTAGACAGAACAGAGTACATATTATTGGTTTCACGGCAATGAGTAGCCAATGACAGATCAGTTGACACAAGATAGGGTCAGACAGAAGTAACGCTCCACTCCAAGGGAGTGACTGGTGAGCAGCTGTTGGCCGCTGCCCCATAGCCAGGCATCAGCTATAGAATGACTGTTCGTCTGGGGCCCGATGTGATTCCCAATTTCTCAAGCAGAAATCCTGAATTGGAGCACCATGCCATTGCAAGTTTTGAGTATTACCACGGCTGAACGGTTGCAACTTGCAGCTGAACCCAAAATAACTGAATTAGCATTTCAATAGATCTACTCTTCAGAAAAAGCATTTGTACATGTAATCTTGCAGTCCTACTAACGGTCCCAACAGTTGTACAGTCCTATAATACAACAAGCCAATGCCAATTAGTTGAAGATGTACTACAGCACATATCGTCCAAACACCGAATATGATGACAATGCATTGATGGCTCAGGATTTGGAGGGTAATCCTATTGAATTTCTTTCATGGAGAGCCTGTGGCAGGTGGCTTGGGTGTCTGATTTTTCTGGTTAGCTGCAGCTTGCGCAGCAGAGCCCTTTGCGTTACTTTCGCTGGCCATTGACTTCTTGATCTGGACAGGTTCAGACAAAACAATAACATATCACACCGCAAGCAAAGACAACAATCAAATGGACGTATCGGCAGAACGCTGTATTTGGTGATGAGAAATGACCATCAATAGGTTAATTTTGAAACAGCATTGAGAATAGATTAGGATATTTGTCAATTCACAGTTTGTACTACTTTGAATAGAGGGAATCAAAACAATATGTTTCCAAGATATAAGATGGGAAGAACAGTTACCAGAGTAAGCCTCTCCCTGTGAATATCATTGACATGCTGCAAATTGTAAAGGAAAAGATTATTACAGTTACAAACAATTGTGAGAATTCATAGCAAGCAATCAAAAGCGAAGAAATAAGTATGCAAATGTATGAATTACCGGCTTCTTGTACAGTTTTATTTCATCTCCACTGAAGCCTGGCAAGGTAATATTCCAGCTTCTCTCTGCAATGGATGACAATTAAATCATATGAAAAATGCAATTGAAAATTTGAAATGCTATGACTTGATAGCATCACCACAAAGATTCTAGAAGAACAAAAATATTCAAGTTACCTGCATGGAGGAGTACATCTTTTGCTTCTAAAATGCTTGACTTTCTATGTTTTGCTAAAGAACAAGCAAATGTTGCAACCTGCTCAAAACAGCTAATTAAAAAAAAGGTACAGAAGACATCCTAGATACACCAGGATGACAAATTCACATGTTGCTGATGATTAAAGGGTGACAACTTTCTTCTATATCTAAAGACAGCATAACTTCGACCCAGAGCTTCTAGGCCTCTAGCAACCATTAGGCAGTGTTTACTATTTCCTCACACAAGAAGAACCAGAGAACACATCCCCGTAATAAGCATACTTGCAAAAAGAAACTATTGGAGAACAGCAATGATGGTGGAGGGAAGGGGCTTACAGATTCAACAAAATCTTCTGCAATGTCAATAAGAACATCTTCAACTTCAGGATCAAGCTTTTCTGAAGGATCAATCTGTTGGAAGATCACAGCATGAGAAAGTTATGATGACACTTAACTTTTGCAAATAATAAAATGCCTATTTCTACTTAAGTGATGATGATCCATAACTGATAAATATTGGTAAAAGAACCAACTAAATCCATCACAGGCAGTGGGGTTTATGAACCTACAATACCCATAACATCCGTGAACCCCTATGGTTGCAGCCCCTACACTCAACAACTCTAGACAATCATGACCCAGATAAATTTTATGACAAAGTATTAGCAACAGTATATGCTATCATATCTAACATACTTATTACAGGTAACAGCCTACTTCCTCTACCTGTTCAAGTACACTGGAACATAGATTTCACACAGATCATCAATTATCGTAAGCACTTCTGAATCAACAACATTATTTTGAAAAGATTTTTACTTGGTCCTTAACCAATGTAGATTAAACAAAAAATCTGTTAAGATAGTGTGCCCTTTTTTTTTTTCTGTTTTCTATTGCGTGGTTTTCTTTGGATATTAGATATGGTTTAACTGTGTTTTTTTCATTACTAAAGAAGGGTATACTTTCAGGTTTCAGTTCAGGAAGTTGTGTACCTGTGCAACTAATTCATGTATACTCCTCTTGGAAAGCAGTCGATTACCAGATCCTCCAGCATCCACATCGACTGAAGCCATGTCTCCAGATTGCACATTAGTAGCTTTTAGTACAGCAGGAGAATCTAGCTTCTGAGCCATTGAGACAGGGGTACGAGCAGTTTGCTGCTGAGAAATTTGTTGCTGGTTTCTGAGTGTTGTAGTCTGTTGACTTTGCTGCGAGGAATGTTGTGGCTGATTTTGTTGTTGCTGCTGCTGCTGCTGTAGCTTTTGTTGCTGCTGCTGCTGCTGCTGCTGTAGTTTTTGTTGCTGCTGCTGCTGCTGTTGCTGTAGTTTTTGTTGCTGCTGCTGCTGCTGCTGCTGTTGCTGCAAATGTTGATGTTGTGGTAGTTTTTGCTGCTGCTGTGTTAAAAGTGCATTCTGTGGGTGCGAAATTGCAGGAGCATGGTATGGTCTTGGATGTGGCCTATGTTGAGGGGGCCTAAGTGGAGCAGATACATTTGGCGGAGTTTGCTGTAAAGGCATCGAGGGGGAAGAAGCCATAGATGGTGGTCTTGCCAAAGCTTGGATGGGGGTTTTCTGTTGGAATATAGTTAAATGAAGTTAGGTTTAATAAGAGGAGTGTTCCCTTGTAACTGGATTGAGGAATGAAAAATACAAAAAATAAACAATGGTGCAAGTTCCAATTGATCTCATTATTCACAGAACAAGGTAAACTCATAAATGAGTTACAGTTGCCAAGGAAAAATGACAAAATATGTACAAGGAAGCATAAGTTATATTGTAAATAATCTTATTCACATAATTAGGTACATCATATAACTGAAACAGAAAGCTTATTTGCCTATAGATAGACCAGTCTTTGCTTTTTACAAGTGAAAGTTTCTTACTTGTGAACTTGCAATCTGGCTATCAGATGGAGATGGTGCTGTTGAAGATGGAAAATTTGGCCTTGTCTGCTGTGGCAGACTAGAGATTGCTCCTGGTCTCACCTGAGATGTGTTAATGGAACCAACTGTCCCAATATTTTGGATCCCAGGGGAAGGCTGCCTAGGCTGAAGACCATAATCATTACTAAGAATCTTCACTGAATTCAAAACAATAGAGAAAAGGTGCAATATGTTTCAACTAACAGCGTGCATGTACTTTGCAATGGAAATTGGCTCTCTTTATACTGGATTATATTGAACAACTTTTCGGACTATATATGTTTTTTTTTGTATGTACATTTGAGTTGGCTGCGTGGGAACTGGGAATTAATGATCTCTAGAGAGGATGAATGTGTTGGTGTAAAAAATTTTATGCGAGAGGAGATGGAGCATGTAGGGCCTGTTCACTTTGATGCCATTTTCAACCATACCATTTTTTGGCAAAGTTGCCAAAATTTTGGCTACGTTTAGTTTGTTGCCAAATTTGGTAAATACATAAGAAATCCTGCCAAAATTTTGGCAATATTGCCATCTTGCCAAAGGTTTATTTTGGCTACAATCTGAACATGCCCGTAACCAACCAATCATCATTAGTTCATTAGCACCAACTAAAATATTATAAGTACCAAAGATGAAGAAGTATTAACAACTATAGTCGTTTAGAACAGTAGTAATTAGTAAGTCACAGAAGAACAATATTAGAGTTCAATAAGCTCCACTTAATGTTTTACGCAGCTGAACTGTCAGATGCATCTACATTTCTTCTACGCACACAAATGTCAGCTGGATTTGACAATTTCTGGGATTGTTGGCTGAAAGAAATTAGCTAAAACATCAGGGGGTAGGATTTAAGCAGCCAAATCACCAAGGTACAGATTTCGCGAAGACTTGTTGGTCTCCATCCCACATTCAGACCCCCATGCTGAATAAGGATAACTAAAATTGAAAAATGGGTTCCACAAAACTGCAGATAACAAGCATGTGACATCAAGCAAGATAATCCTACTAAGTCATGGTTTCCTCAAGAAATTTACTAACATGGGATCAGATATCGTGTCATTATTATATAAAAGAATGTAATTCTTGCTGTCATCCAGATCAGTTATTTCCTGACCAAATGAAAACCTCATACTACCGAGAGCTTAATCACACCAGAATATAAAAGTGCGGAGCTAAGCATCAGATACAGACCTGTGTAGAGGATGGTGGGGGCTGGTCAGGACCCCGATGCATCGAGCCGAACTGCGCGGCGAGTGTCGGCGGCGGCACGAACCCGGTGTAGCCGACGGGCGTCTGCGGCGCACGCGGGTGCGCTGGTAGCCCAAGGGCTACACCTCCCCGTGGCATGGCAGATGAGGACGCAGAGGTGGCGGCCGGAGCGGAAGCAGAGGAGGAAGAGGCCGCGCCCGTGGCCGGAGAGGAGGACATCGTGATGGGCGAGGCCAGGTGAGTGTACGGAGGCCTCATGCGGGGCACCGGCGGCCGCGCACTGGCGGGGCTTGGAGCTGGGGTTTCTAGGGTTTGGACGGGGGCTGGGGTGGGATTGGGGGCCGGGGCAAGGGTGGTGTCGGGGGTGGGCGGCGCGGCGGTGGAGGCGGAAGGGGTGGGATTAGGCTGTGGCGCGGATGAGGGGGCAGAAGCCGAGGTCGAAGTGGGCGGCGCCGCCGGCGCCGCCGCGGCGGCGTCCGGTTGCGCGGGCGGAGGCGCGTCCATGGTGTTCGACGGCTCAGCGAGGCGGGGGTGTCTTTGATAAGATGGCAGAAATACAGATGAAGGGGAGGACTTGAATGCAAAATTTCTCTTCTGAAAAGGTCTTCCTAAACCCCTCGCCCCCCGCTCGCTAAACACACTAGACATTTCCGATGGGCAAGAACGGGAAGAAGACGGAGTCGCACCGGCAAGGCCGAGGCCGCCGTGCCTCACGCTTCCGCGGCGGCGGCGGCGGCGGCGACGAGGATGGTGACGAGTTGCCTTCATCTGCCTATGATGCTCCACCGCCACACCACGAGGACTCCGACGGTGACGACACCGACGAAGCAGCAGCCGAGGACGAACACGAAGGGGGTGTGGATGGAGGTGACCAGGAGCAGCGGGAAGTAGGTTCCATGCCTTCCAAGTTCCACCTGTACCAACTCTCCGTCCAGGTAATCTCGCTAGCTTCACTAGTGGGATAGATCGGTGAAATTAAGTCTCCGTGCACCGAACCTGTTCGACGAAATGCTAACAGTATGCGTCTGTGTTTAGTCGCCAAAAGGGGACATTAGCTACCTGCAGAAGTTCTTCCTTATGTACGTCGGCGGGCGCGTCCCTCTGCACTTCCAAGAGGATTTCTGTGGCACGGCCCTCCTCAGGTCAATGCACTAAACTTTTCGATGAAGTCCATGTCTGTCATTTTTCACACATTGCATGTGTGGTTGAAGACTTCAGCAGTTCCATTAGCAAGAAATGTGCCAAATGCTTGAATGGTTATTCTTTGGAGAACTTTGATCAATGATGCTCAACAATCAAGAGATCAGTTAACTTTAGTGTGTGACTGTGTGATGCATGTGTTTTTGGCTTCTTGGTCATGATATATTGTTTGATTTCCTGTTGGCAGTGCTGAGTGGCTTCGTACTGATGCAAGGCGTACAGCAGTTGGCTTAGATTTGGACCTTGAGTCACTTGAGTGGTGTCTTGAAAACAACCTGAGCAAGATTGGAGCTGATGGGTATTCAAGAATGCTACTTTTCCATGGAAATGTTCTACAGCCAAATGTAGCTCGCCTAGTCAAGCAAAAGATCTGTGATGCCATGCAAGATCTGCACGTAAACAATGATAATGACTCTTTAGCAAGTAACATCTGTGATCAGTTGGATCCTGCTAGCCCAAAATGCTCAGCCAATTCAACCATGTCGGATTTGGTTTTGCCGGCAAGAGACATTATTTGTGCATTCAACTACAGTTGCTGTTGTCTCCACAGGAGAAAGGACTTGGTTTTGTATTTTAGGCATGCTTTCAATGCACTGTCAAAACGAGGTGGTATATTTGTAATGGATGTGTATGGTGGCACATCATCTGAACGCAAGCTACGTCTGCAGAGGAGGTTCCCCAGCTTCACTGTGAGTGATGTTGTGTTAGTTATTAGCCCTTATACTAGTTACGAATCCACTAAATGCTATCTTCTTGCTCACCAGATAGAAATGTGGTAGGCATATAATGCCCTGAAAAAACTGCGTTCTTTTTTATGAAAATTCACACTATCTGCTTGTAGAATCTGCTTATTCCAACATAAAGATGTTGCAGTAGTAGTAGTATGCAACATAAAAGAATGTTTTAGTCCGAAATACAATTTTCTATTGACCATGCCTCCTTTTTATAGATTCTAAAGCGGTTAGCTATATTTTTATACAACTTCAATCTAGCTATTCTGAAATAATTGTAAAGTATATATGCTATGTTGTTACCCTTTATGGTGAGATTTTGTGCCTCCTTTTTATGACTCGATGTCCATTTCACTTATCAGTCATATAGGTTTTTCCCTTGTGTAGTTTATTCTAGTTGAAATAAACAACAGATAGAGTTGTCCAATTATCAATGGCGTGCGATTTGGAGAATGAGAATGAGATTATATATAGATTTATATTACTGTTCTTACATACAAGATACAACTATGCATTCAGTATTTCTGGGAGCAAGAAGAGTTCGATATCATAAGTCACCAAACAAGGATCAGTCTCCACTTCCAAGCTGGAAAGAAGCAAATGTTACGGCATGCTTTCACGTACCATTGGCGCCTGTAAGTTGATCACATACTATTGAGAATGGTATATTTCATAATTATTATTGCTCTCCTGTTTCCTTAGTGGATCTTCACCGTGTTATGGAAAACCTGCAAGGTTGTAACTGTCAAAAAGAACTATAGAAATTCTTATTAAAATATAAAGTTGAAAATATTTTGCTTAGTCCGGTCCTCCGGTCTACAGGTTCAGGGGGGAAACTAGATTGGTATTAATATCATGTGCAAGGTGTTTAGAATACATGTGTATTAGTCAAGGGTATTGTAGTCATTTCCCGTTTCTAGGCCAATCTTGTAATCTATATTTTCCCTTTAGGCCTAACTCAAGATAACAGAGAGTTCATTACCCATTTACATCTTCTTCCCAAATTATAACACAGGGAACAACCAAAGGCAATGCCACTTTATTACCTCTGTGATATATTGATACCAACCACTTCTACATCTACTATATCTCTGAGGAGATTTTTCACGTGCTATATCTTTGCACTCTTCATAATGAAGAGTATGATGTACGGGATTGTTTTTCAAGTGCTGTGTGTAACACACCCTACACTACCTGCATGACTTCCTCGCATGTTAACTTTGTTTTAGAGTTGCACTGGAGTATCAGGACATCTTAGTCCTGTGCAAAGAGGAAGGATACCTTCAAATTCGAAATTCATGTTGCTCCTTTGTAGGTGGTCGATACCAGAAATCAAAGACTGCTTGGAGGAAGCTGGATTTAAATCAATCCATGTCTGGATCAGGGAGATGCCAAATACCCAATCAAGTGGAAATGCTAAAGAATATAATGCCAACCGTGATGTGAAATATGAAGAATTACAGCATTTCAATCAAGCAGATGCTTGGAATGCATATGTTGTTGGAGTAGCAAATATCTAGATGATTCATGCTACCTTCTTTTTTTAGAGAGAAGATGTTGGAAACCTTTGCAGTTTTCCGTTCTGATGCTATCCGGTCAGTTTCTCTGATGCTGCCTGCCGGAGTAGTATCTTTTTATCTAATGCACAAGTGCTTAACATGGATTCCCTTCTCGTTGAAACTAGAATGTGTAATTGCTCCACTCTATGCCAGGAAACTAGGAAAGTTGTATGTCTTGGGCTATGATGTTTGTTCTAGATGAGATGCTAGCTAACATGTAGTATCATCATATCTGTACCGATCAAATAGAGAGCAGTCAAACCCCAAAGACAATCTACTGAAGATGGTGATTCACTATTTCTTGATGCAGTCATACAGGGGTTGTATGTCCAGTCAGTTTCATGCAGCATAACCTTTTCAGGTTTGCATGCCAATGGTGTTCTGTGCTGATTAACTTCCTGAGCCACTGAGTCCCCTAAGATATGCTGTCAAATGTTTGATTAAACTGGCCGAGTTACCAGATCATTTCCTCTCCGCAATAATCTCTGCATTGTGAACATCTCTTCTGGCAGCAGATGTCCTCCACAATAGAATCTGTGAACCTGCCATCAACAGCATCCTTCAAATCATCCATGCCCATTGACAATTACTCGCAAGGAACGGGGGAGATCTAAGAAAATTGTTAGAATAGATGTCGAATATACTAATTCTATTTGGTTACAGTTGGATTTAAAGTTGTAATAGGTGGTAGGGGGTAGAGGTAGAGTCGGACTCTATAACCTAGCAACTCTCTTAAATAGAGAGGCATGGAGATGATGGTGGTGTGGCCATGGACTTGTAGCGGCTAGGAGTTATATGGGTTGAGGAGCGCCCATAATCAAAACCCCAGGACATAAGCTTCGGCTAAACCTCGTTAACAAATATTGTGTGTTCTTGTGTCGTTATCTGACGTGTCTTGGGTGATCATTGATTGAAGCGATCGAGAAGATTAGTCGTCGTTCCGCTATATCGACTACTTCCTCCGTTTCATAATGTAAGCCATTTTAGCATTGCCCATATTTATATAGATGTTAATGTGAGCAATGCTAGAATGACTTGCATTATAAAACGGAGGGAGTAACTTTTATATATAAAAAAGGTCTCTACGAGCTGCAAACATCCTAATTCAATCATTTCCATTTGAGTTTTCAGATATACCAACACAAAGTGCTTTGCTGGCTCTGCAGAGCTGAAGCCGACGACAAGCCACTCCGAACAGTTAAAAAAACATTACGGTACCTTATGCATCTGCATTAAAGTTTTAAATAATATAAATAATTATACGTGTGTCTAAAAGTTCATAGTGTTATCTATTAGAAAACGGAGTGTTCTAAAGTTAAGAGCGTTATCTCTTATAAAACGGAGGAATACAACTTTTTCAGGTTCAGGCAGTGTCCAACATGGCGTGTCCAACATGGTAGTAGCGCCATTCCACACGCCTGTATATAACCGCGCCCATTGCTCCCCAGGACAACATGGAATGCATCTTTCTACCAGAAGATAGAGCTTTCTCTGCCACGAAATATTCAGCTTTACTGGATACCGTCTACAGCCGTCTCCATTCATCGTTTCCTTTCCATGATGGTGTGACAGAATTGGCTTTTGTATCGTGTTCGTTCGTCCAGTCATTTTCGTGTGCTAAGCTTCGCAGGTCACAGACATGCCTCGTCAAATTTGGTTTTAGTCATAGACATCACGTAAAATCGACCAACTGCTCGGCAGGCCAACAGTAATGATCTCATGATCACCCAGCTGAAACTAATCTTGGCGTGCAATGCATTCGCAACAACACTTTACGCCAGCTAAAGAGCGAGCGAGCACTGAACTGAAGGTTCCGATTTCCATATCAATCCTGAGCTGATCAAAGTGCTTGAAAAAAGATTCTTAGTGCTTGCCATTGTGGATCCCGACTAGATTAGAAGATGCGAGGCCGAGGATTATGGCGGGGGAAACACACTGCAAAGAATAAATAATCACTGGAGTTCTAGTTGTCGTAGTGGTGGACAGAGACAGATTAATCCAGCGGCAAACGCGACGACTCCACGTTGCCGCCGTGCCAATGATAATCCGAGAAATCGAGCTGCACGGCGGAACAAAGGAGAGCGACGTAAACCGGATTAATCCAAACGGCTTCGACCATCTGAGGGGATCGAGTGAACAATGTTAAACATGTGATATGTATTTGTGTGATGCACACGGCATGGTTAGATGGATAGATATGATTAGATAAGGCTAGATTGAGTTTGTTGTAACAGAATAGGAGCATATCTATCCATCCACCTGCGCCGATCTCTGTAACCCACAGCGGTGGTTATTATCGCTAATATAAGATTAACAAAGGTGCGGCCCGAGAGGGTTGAACGCTTCTGAACCTCTGATGTTTGATATGGTATCAGAGCCTTTCCACTAAACAAATCCCGATCCAATCTATGGCCAGCTCGTCGTCCAAGATGGCAGCCACTAATCCTTTCGGAGGAAACACAATCTCAGAGAAATTAGCCAAAAACAACTATGCGCTATGGAAAGCGCAAGTCCTGGCGTCGGTGAGAGGAGCTCGTCTTGAAGGGCATCTCACTGGCACCACAGCAGCGCCGGCCATCACCATCTCCGTGCCAGGCGAGAAGGAAGGCGACAAGGCCACCAGGGCGGCTAATCCCGCCTACGATGAATGGGTGGCTACGGATCAGCAGATCCTAGGGCTTCTACTGAGCACCCTGTCCAAAGATGTTCTGGCGCAGGTGGCCACCTGCGGCACTGCAGCTGCCGCCTGGAGCATGCTGGAGGAGATGTATACCTCCATGACAAGGGCACGCTTCATCAACACTCGGATCGCTCTCTCCAACACCAAAAAGGGCGATCTCTCCATCACAGAATATGTCGCCAAGATGAGAGCACTTGGTGATGACATGACGGCGGCTGGCAAGGTCGTCGACGACGAAGATCTCATCTCCTACATCATTGCCGGCCTCGACGACACGTATGAACCGGTGATCTCCTCAATCGTCGGCAAATCTGAGCCGATGTCCTTCGGGGAGGCTTTCTCTCAACTGCTCAGCTTTGAGCAGCGCAACAATCTCCGTCACGGCGGCGAGTCGTCAGCAAACCTGGCGAATCGAGGGCGCGGCACCACCGGCGGCAACGGAGGCCAACGCGGACGCGGTGGGAACAACCGTGGACGCGGCGGCAATGGAGGCAACAACAGCGCAAACCGCGGCAAGGGTGGTCGCGGGAATGGCGGCTTCAATGGAGGACGTCAAGGAGGTGGCGTCGACACTAGGCCCAAGTGCCAGCTATGTTACAAGCGAGGACATACGGTAATCAACTGTTGGTATCGTTATGATGAGGATTTTGTTCCAGATGAGAAGTATGCAGGTTCTGCAGCCACCTCCTATGGTATCGATACCAACTGGTATGTGGATACTGGGGCAACTGATCACGTGACAGGAGAGTTGGAGAAGCTCATCGTTCGTGATCGCTACAAAGGACATGATCAAGTGCATACCGCTAGCGGTGCAGGTATGGAAATTAGCCATATTGGTCACTCTATTGTTAAAACCCCCAGTCGTGATATTCATTTACGCAATATTTTACATGTTCCTAAGGCTAACAAAAATTTAGTTTCTGCTCAACGTCTTGTTTCTGATAATTCTGCCTTTATGGAACTATATTCTAAATATTTCAATCTTAAGGATCTAGCCACGAAGAAACTTCTGCTTAGGGGGCCCTGCCGTGGTCGTCTCTATGCTCTTCCATCTACACCGCCACATGCACACTCAACCAAAGAAGTTTATGGAGTCTCCAAGCCATCTTTTGAAAGGTGGCACAGTCGTCTCGGTCATCCCTCCTCTCCAATTGTAGAGAAGGTCATTAGCAAAAATAATCTCCCATGTTTAGTTGAGTCTAATAAACAGTCTGTGTGTGATGCTTGTCAAAAGGCAAAGAGTCATCAATTGCCTTATTCTATATCATCTAGTATATCTAGTCATCCTTTGGAACTTATTTATTCTGATGTTTGGGGTCCTGCCCCCACTTCTGTTGGAGGCAAACAGTATTATGTGAGTTTTATTGATGATTTCAGCAAGTTTACTTGGATTTATTTAATTAAGTTTAAATCTGAAGTTATCCAAAAGTTCCATGAGTTTCAGGCTCTTGTTGAACGATTGTTTAACAGAAAAATCCTAGCGATGCAATCTGACTGGGGAGGAGAATATGAGAAACTTAATTCCTTCTTTACCAAAATAGGTATTACTCATCATGTGTCTTGTCCTCACACACACCAGCAAAATGGCTCAGCTGAAAGAAAACATAGGCATATTGTAGAAATGGGTCTTGCTCTTCTTGCTTACTCATCTATGCCATTAAAGTTTTGGGATGAGGCTTTTACTTCTGCTGTTTATCTCATTAATCGTACTCCTAGCAGACTCTTGAAATATGCAACGCCTTTGGAACGTCTGTTTAAACAAACTCCTGACTATAATATTCTTTGTGTATTTGGGTGTGCATGTTGGCCTCATCTCCGACCATATAATGCTCGCAAATTACAATTCCGTTCCAAACAATGTACCTTTCTAGGTTACAGTCCCCTTCATAAGGGGTTCAAATGTCTAGATCCTTCCACCGGTCGCGTTTACATATCCCGTGATGTAATTTTTTATGAGAATGTTTTTCCCTTTGCCTCACTTCATCCCAATGCCGGTGCAAAATTGCGTTCTGAAATTTTATTATTGCCATCCCATCTTGATATTCCTATTATTCCTGGGGTGCAACAAATGAGTACCACTGTGGCTAATGTTCCTACTAATCCTGCTAATCAAATTTCTGGAGATGAATTATCGCTACAGGAAAATTTGGCAGCAAATAATGCAGCTCCAGATGGTGCGGACGCAGCCACAGCTGCCACGAAAGATCCAGCGGCTGACTCCCCTCACACCTCTGACGCAGCGTCTTCGAGCGTCCTCCAGCGTCGTGTGGAGGCCACCGTAGAGTCCTCCTGCTCTCCTGATCGGTTGCATGTCGAGCTCACACCGGCGCACTCACCCGTGGCCATGCAATCTCCAGATGCCACGTCTCCTACTGCTTCCTCTGACTCACAGGAGCCATCCACGTCTCTTGATGCTTCTGTTGCAGGGGAGGTAGATACACAGCAACAACAGCACCAGGTAATATCTAGACCGGCTACGAGGTTGCAAAGTGGCATTATTCGTAAGGAAAAAGTTTATACTGATGGTACAGTTAAATATAGGACTACTTTTCTCACTGTTACTGGAGAGCCAGAAAATTTAGATGACGCTTTAAAAGATAATAATTGGAAAAAAGCTATGGATGCAGAGTTTATGGCTTTACAAAATAATAAGACCTGGCATTTAGTTCCACCTCAGAAAGGTAGAAATGTTATAGACTGTAAGTGGGTGTATAAAATTAAAAGGAAACAAGATGGGAGTCTAGACAGATATAAAGCTCGCTTAGTTGCAAAAGGGTTTAAGCAAAGATATGGCATAGATTATGAAGATACTTTTAGTCCTGTTGTTAAAGCTGCTACAATCAGGATTATTCTTTCCATTGCTGTCTCTAAAGGATGGTGTATGAGACAGTTAGATGTTCAGAATGCTTTTCTTCATGGAGTTCTCGAAGAAGAAGTGTATATGAAACAACCACCAGGTTATGAGGACAGTTCTTTGCCAGGGTATGTGTGCAAGCTTGATAAAGCTTTATATGGCTTAAAGCAGGCACCTAGAGCTTGGTACTCTAGGCTTAGCAAGAAGTTATATGATATGGGATTCCAAGGGTCCAAGGCTGATACTTCTTTGTTCTTTTATAACAAAGGAGATTTGATTATATTTGTACTCATTTATGTTGATGATATTATTGTCACCAGTTCTAGACAGGAAGCTGTTCCAGCCTTGCTTCAGGATTTACAAAAGGAGTTTGCTCTGAAGGATCTTGGAGATCTTCATTACTTTCTTGGTATTGAGGTAACTAAAGTGTCTGGTGGTATAGTTCTTACTCAAGATAAATATGTCAATGATTTGTTGAGAAGAGTAAATATGTTTGACTGCAAACCGGTTAGTACACCCCTGTCTACAAGTGAGAAATTGTCTATAAATGAAGGAGATCCTTTAGGACCAAATGATGCAACACATTATAGAAGTGTAGTTGGTGCTTTACAGTATCTAACATTGACTAGGCCTGATATTGCTTTTCCTGTAAATAAGGTTTGTCAATTTTTACATGCTCCAACTACACACCATTGGGCAGCTGTTAAGAGAATTTTAAGATATTTGAAGCAATGTACTAGACTTGGACTTAAGTTAAGCAAGTCTAGATCTATGTTAGTAAGTGCTTGTTCAGATGCAGATTGGGCTGGTTCCCTAGATGACAGGAGATCTACAGGAGGTTTTGCAGTATTCTTAGGAGATAATCTTGTGTCATGGAGTGCACGGAAACAAGCTACTGTTTCTAGATCTAGTACAGAGTCAGAATATAAAGCTTTGGCTAATGCTACAGCAGAGATTATGTGGGTACAGACTTTATTGGCAGAATTGCAAGTTGAGAGTCCATCTATGGCAAAGTTGTGGTGTGATAATTTAGGAGCTAAGTATCTTTCTGCTAATCCTGTGTTTCATGCCAGAACTAAACACATAGAGGTTGATTATCATTTTGTTCGAGAAAGAGTTTCAAGGAAATTGTTAGAAATTGATTTTGTGCCTACAGGAGATCAAGTTGCAGATGGTTTTACAAAGGCTTTGTCAGTTCGACAGTTGGAGAATTTTAAGTACAATCTTAACTTAGGAAAGTTATGATTGAGGGAGGGTGTTAAACATGTGATATGTATTTGTGTGATGCACACGGCATGGTTAGATGGATAGATATGATTAGATAAGGCTAGATTGAGTTTGTTGTAATAGAATAGGAGCATATCTATCCATCCACCTGCGCCGATCTCTGTAACCTACAGCGGTGGTTATTATCGCTAATATAAGATTAACAAAGGTACGGCCTGAGAGGGTTGAACGCTTCTGAACCTCTGATGTTTGATAAACAAGACAAGACCAAGACCAGGACGGCTGGGGGCGGCAACATCAGGGCGTGGATTAACCGAGGCGGATTGGTTCCGGCCAAAGTTGACCCCAAGTCTACCGGCCTAGGCTGGCTGAGTTGGAAAGAATTCAATGAATCGATTGCGACGAGTTTAAATTCTACTATACAGACACGTAAAACACAACGAAATTTCTCTGTTTTTGTCATAGCTTACACGCCGAAAACATACGCTACTACTAGTAGTACTAGTTTTTTTGAACGTGTAGCTTGCACACGTAAAACACTGGATGCAGGTTGTTAATACTCCGAGGAGGCCGTATAACAATCATAAAAAGCGTCATGTGGCGCGAGGTACAGAGTTCATTGCGTTTCTGCATGAATCACACACATCGAACGCTACGCTGGACACCACGTGGCCACGCCAAGCTTAGCAACTCATACCGACGGCCCCACCTGTCATGCGTACAGGCTTGTTGTGGGACCCACGCCCGCAGCCCTGTTCCCTGCAGAGAATCATTATATACTCCCTCCAATGCACGAACCCAACCAGAGCACATTGGATCCCCCGTTCCCCCGAACCCAAGGTCCAACCAACCGCAAACTGCAAACATATCACGCTCCCTATTTTAGTACCACCTCGCGAACCGGAACGCATCGCGTCCGATAAAAAACTCGTCGCCCCACACCGCGCGGCACTCGGAGCTCAGCTCGCACGGCACGGAACGGAACACAACCCTCCCTGTGTCTCTCTCCCTGATGCGCCGCCCCCCATGCGGCGGCCCCGACCCACTTAGCCCGCGGCGGCGGATGCTGCGGCGGCGGCGGCGGCGATGAAGCGGCCGCTGCGGCGCCCGTTCGCGGTGCTCCTCTTCGTCGTGCTGTGCGCCGCGGCCTCGTTCCCCTCCGTGTTGCGCAGGTCGGTGGGCCCGGCTCCCGTGCTCGCGCCGCTGCCGCCGCTTGATCCCGCGCGCCTCAACGCCACGCTCCTCCGCCTTGCCGCGGCCGATCCATCGGAGGCGCCGCTGCGCCGCGACGTGGACGACCTCCTCGAGGGCCGCCTCCCGGCGTCGTCCGCGCGCGCCCGCGCGTGGCGCCTCCGGGGCGACAGGCTCCACCTTCACCTCCGCCACCACCAGTTCCCCGTCTACCGGCGCGGCCACCACCCGGATCACGACCACGACCCCCTCCTCCACCCGCTCCCGCGCCAGGAGCTCCACCTCGACCCATCCCTCCGCCGCGCGCTCCGCTCCTGGCACCGCCTCCGCCGGCACGACCCCGGCGTCCTCCGCAATCTCCCTTCCCTCCTCTCCCTCCCCGGCCGCATCCCCTCCTGCGCCGTCGTGGGCAACAGCGGCATCCTCCTCGGCGCCAGCCACGGCGCCCTCATCGACTCCCACGCCGCCGTCTTCCGCCTCAACAACGCCCGCATCTCCGGCTTCGCCGCCAACGTCGGCGCCAAGACCAACCTCTCCTTCATCAACAGCAACGTCCTCCATCTCTGCGCCCGCCGTCCCAACTGCTTCTGCCACCCCTACGGCGACGGCGTCCCCATCCTGCTCTACATCTGCCAGGCCGCGCACTTCCTCGACGTCGCCTCCTGCAACGCCTCCTCCCGCTCCCTCCACGCCGCATCCATCTCCGTCACCGATCCACGCCTCGACGTCCTCTGCGCGCGCATCGTCAAGTACTACTCGCTCCGCCGCTTCGTCGCCGAGACGGGGCGCGCGGCCGAGGAGTGGAGCAGCACGCGCGACGCGGCCATGTTCCACTACTCGTCGGGGATGCAGGCCATCATGGTCGCCGTGGGAGTGTGCGACAGGGTGAGCGTGTTCGGGTTCGGGAAGGCGGCCGACGCGAAGCACCATTACCACAGCAACCAGAAGGCGGAGCTGGACCTCCACGACTACAAGGCGGAGTACGCCTTCTACCGCGACCTCGCCGACCGGCCGGAGGTAGTCCCCTTCCTCAACGACGCCGGTATCGCCGTCCCGCCCGTCGTGTTCTACCATTAGAGCGCGTGCGCGCAAGGTGCTCGACGTTATGCCACTTTTTTCCGGTGGAGGATTGTGTTGTATTAGTGGCTCAGTGTAAAATGTTGCTTCGTAAGGTGGGTTATTTTTTGTGATTAGATTGATAGACGAATTGAAATAGTAGCGAAATTTTGATATGATGGTGGGATTGGAGGTGTGTACTAAGCATTAGGATCCCTCCATTAGCATACGAGGACGATTTCTTCCGCTTTTGGCACTGTAACTGTAATTTAGACTGATCTTTCTTCGTAATTTCATGAAGAATCAATTGTACATCTTCTATACAGCCTTGCTGCAACTTTGCTCTCCATGTTTCCCAAATGGCAAATACAACTTTAGCTTTGCATTGTGTCATCTGTGTACCTTCCAAATTCCAATTTGACTGCTCATTTCACCTCGGAAAATAACTTGTGCAAGTCCTTCCCTGCCAATGCACTTCTTCTACCTCTCTAATCCGATTGCTAACCGAAGGCTCGAAGCTTTGCACTAGGTTGGTTTGTGCATGTATGTGTTGCCAGTTGCCACTCCTATGTTTTGTAGTACTATGTTCATTTCATTTTTATAAATTCTTTGCGGTGAACGCACTACTATGACTTTAATGTATTACCTGTGCTGAGAAAAAGATGCTTTGATATTTCAGGGAGCAACACTACAAACTTAACAGTGAATCTAGAGGATTTGTATTTGTGTACTTTATAGGGGATGTTTGGGAGAGATCTCAAAAACATACCGTAAGTCTCTAGGGAGGGACTTATACTTTTGTGAGAGGGACTAAAGTTTAGTCCCTAAATCCCAAAACCTCCCTAGTATACTCGATGTTTTCCCACTGTAACTAAACGATCTCATGGCCGGCCATGATTTGATCTGACAACAATATTCTCCTTGTTTCTTTGAAGTGAATCCACCATGTTCGTGGATGCGCCAGTTCCGCACCTCATGTACCTTCACACATCATGATGAGGATACATTATGGGAGTAACCACTTCACCGTTGTTATTTAATCCAGATCAATGTGTGAAATACGGAGTAAGCGATTGATGATTTGGTCCACCGTGTTACTCCCTCCGTCATGAAAAAAACGAATTTAGTATTGGATGTAATATATTCTAGATCCAGATTCGTTGTACTAGGATGTGTCACATCCGGTACTAGATTGGTTTTCGAATTTAGTACAGGATGTAACATATTCTAGATCCAGATTCGTTGTATTAGAATGTGTCACATCCGGTACTAGTTTGGTTTTTTTTTATAGAACGGAGGGAATACACATCTGCTGATCCGCTATACATCACGCGGTGGTTTATTAAGTTTAAGGAAACTCCCGGCATGATATTGAGTGTGCTGGAGCTTATTTTAAACTAAAAGTACTAAGTACTACAAATTATAACAACTTTATATCACTTTTGACATTTATCCTTGTCTTAAGGACTCTTCTGTTTGTATCTTTCCGATCCCGCCTAGTGATTGACTCAAATAATCGTCCCTATTATAGTGATCGAAGTGCTAGCGTGTACTGATACTGAGGGGCTACTCTCTTGAAATGGGGAGGTTCTTTTATGAACTCGGGATCCATACACAAAATGATCCTGATATAGTATACTCCTACTTTGAAATGGCTATCCATTTCGATGAATCATATGCTAAATTGTTAATGGTTGCACTTGGTCAGGATGATCCGGATGCTCTTTGCTTGTATTGCTTAATTTTCGACAAATATCACTTGAAAGTTTCCTTTTCATATAACCATTCGAAAGGAGTAGGAGGATTTGCCTATATACATTACAATCTGAATCTTGTGTTTTGATCTCAGTATGAAATATGTGTTTGATTGCATGCCTCAACTTGTTACATGCCTATACCTAGATTAGGCACGCCACAGTAGACACCCTTTGAGACTTTGATTCATGTCATATTGAGTTTCTTCCAGCTCCATGGTGAGCATTTGAGATGCAAGTAGTACATGTATAGTCCACATGTGAGACCACTTGTTAGCTGTTACTACAGTACAATCAATAGAGTAAATGAGTAATATTACCACTGTACTGGGGTCTGAGTAGATAGATGGTCCTATTACCTGTTCTTTACCACTATGTACTTTGGTTGAAACTTGGAACGACGACCACGCATATGGCTGTGTACGGGCGTCCATTTTCCCAACCTATATTCCTCGTTTTCTGCACGCACGCTTTTCAAACTGCTAAACGGTGAGTTTTTTTAAAAAGTTTTTATACGAAAGTTGCTTAAAAAAATCAAATTAATCCATTTTTTTTTAAAAAATTAGCTAATACTTAATTGATCACGTGCTAATAGATCGCTCTATTTTCCGTGCTACTGGGAACAACCCATAGCGAACACAGCCATATGTGTTTTACACCATGAACCTACTACTATTACCAGGATTGATTCAAAGGACGCGCCCGTGCTACTGCAGTTAGCATTAAAAGAATACTCGAATCAGTACCTAAAAGCTGCTTATCGCTTGCCTGACAAGGAACTTTTGCAACTTCTGCCACTAATCGGTGTATCCTAATAAAGTGATTTGACAGCCTAGTCATGTTTTGGAGCTCACTGATGCTCCCAGCCTTCCACCAGTCCTTGCCGGCTTCGTGGTGCATCATGCTTTGTTGCTGCTAGTGCTGCTGTGACATTGGAGTGCGTATGTCAGGTACAGATTGCCAGTTTATGGCTGTAGTCTGAAGTCTGAACTCCGCAGCTGAGCAGATTGGACTATTGGAGTAGTATGAAGATGGGCTTCAGTTCCTAAAAAGAGTCCGGTGAAGATTCAGCCTATTGAAACGATGACAACACAGCCCAGTAAAGGTCCGAGTGTAGAATTACAGCCTCCCTCCAACAACCGGGCTAAACCAGAATCAGTGAGTACAGAGACAAAATCAATAAATCTAGAACCCAACCTTAGAGCCAGCAGTGTGACTAGTGACTCGTAGCAACTGAGCTGAGCATGTCATGATGCCATGGACGCCGAGCTTATTTTATTATTCAGAGAATGAAAGAGACAGACAAATGTCACAGACTCAGTGTCAACCAGTTAAGGTGCTGTTTCGAGTGTATACCAGTAGTGGTTATTTTGTGGTAGGTGGTTAATTTGACTTGGGAGCTAAATGGCTGATTGTGATATTTACCACCCATAACTCAGAAGAGTAGACGGCAACCGAAAATTCTCAGAAAGAGAAAAAAAATTACAGGGTTCAACCAAGTTGAACTCCTACACATATGTTCACCCAGTTACTACCATTGACCTGCTGTCATCTATTGTATTTTTCCTGTTCAATGCATAGTTGCATACGATTTTTTCTTCGTTGATTAACTTTTTAATATGGTCCATCCTGAAGACTCTACTTGTCCAAAGGCAGAGTTTGACTGTTTGAATGTAATCAGAGCCATGAAAGATTGAAAGTGTGTGTGTGTGTGTGTCTGACAGTGTGAGACGTACGTGCAGCTATCGAACGAGTTTGTGCGTGCTTCGCCAGCGTGACTATGTTCTGATGCAAGCTCACTGGAAGTCCATTGTTTGTCGCCACTACGCCGGAAGGTCGGAACTCGGAACCACCTCCTCTGCAGTCAATTACATAAAGTACAGATAACCCAATGCATTCAGACAGCTATGTATTGTCGTTTTTAATGGAGACTTTGACTGATCAGTGAAAGAATACTGTATAGTACTACCTTCAACACGGTGGTTGACAGGAGAAAGTTAAGTACTCCATCGCTCTATCTCAAAATAAATCAACATCCTAATACAATAAATCTGATATAAAATATGTTTCAATTTGTTATACTTTGTACTAAGATATATCACATTCTAGTATAAGATTAGTTTGTTTTGGGATGGAGGGTGTCAGGGTTACAGATAAGGCATACCCTCTATCCTACGACTTATGGAATATACCGATAAGGTATACCTTCACGTATACGGTTGGTTTCTGTATACACCGTTAGGAATTCACCTCAAATTAGGGAAAATATCTCCACGAAGTTAAGGAATTGCAAAAGTCCTACTCGGAAAGGGTAAAATCTATAGTATATCGTGTCGGTTTACATATCTCCAAGTTTTACTTAAGGGTCAAGGTATCCCACGGTATAAAAGGGACCCCTAGGGAGGGGCAAAAGGCATCGCACCTCATCGCCAACACACCCACCAAAGTTTACGAAGCCGGAGTCCACGGAGCCAACTCGCCGGGAGATCTTGTCGAGTCCCTCGACTACGATCTCATCGGTATTGTCTGTTCGGTTACTCTCTTTGTAATCTGTTCTCATCATCATCAATCCCATATAAACTGGACTAGGACTATTATCTGATAAGGGGCTTGAACCAGTGTAATCATTGTCTTTTGTCTGTTTTGATGTCGTACTACGTAGATCCTGTTCTAACGTACCCCAATACCCTATTCTTCTGGTCCGCGAGTATCACTCGTCGACAGAGGGCACATGCAGCATAAATTGACAGTATCATCTGTCTTATATCAAAGTTATATACCCCTAGGGTCCTAGCAAGTCTGTGTAAAAGTGATGTTGTAATAAGCTCAACTGATACTGAAAACGAAATATATACTCCATATATCATAAAATAAATTTATTCTTTATTTATCTCATACATACTAATAAAATATAAAACAACTAAAATACACTACCGCTTTATCATATTCTAGTATAATTATTCACTTTATTTAGTTCTAAGATAACTGTTCTTTAATTTTATAAACTTTGATTGAATGATTGCTAAATGAATTTATTTTAGGATAAATAAGAGGGTGCAAGATAAACCTATTGTGGATAGATGGAAGTAGGCATCAGTTCTTCTACTCCCTCCACCCCAAATATAAGATATTTTGGTTAGATAAGACACATCTTCAGTACTATGAATTTAGACAATGCAAGGAGCATGTCTACATTCGTAGTATTAGAATATATCGCATTCAATCAAATTTTCTTATATATTAAAACAGATAAGTACTCCTTGTCCCAAAATATAAGCATTTTTAGAATAGTGCCAAGTCAAATACTTTAAACGTTGGCTATTAATAACAAAAAAAAAAATCAATCATGTAAAATTGATGTCACTAGATTTATTATTAAACAAACTATTCTAACATGCAACTTTTTTTATTTAAAATATCTTAATTTTATAAATATTATTGGTTAAAGTAGTATCTCAAAAATTATGCTGAAGTCTAAAAATACTTATATTATTTTGAGAAGGACGGCGTAGATTATTTCCGTCAGGTAAGCTGTACGAGGACCAAATTAGATGTCAAACCGACACAGCTTTATTCCTTTCTTGAGATTTTGAGGACCGCTTTTCTGAGTGCATCTAGTGGTCGAGCTATGGGCGCATG